CTTTTTGTTTGCCACAGTGTGCGGCGCCGCGATCCTCCTCAGCAGAATGAGTGAGACAGTCCTTCAACGCCACCCCGATGTTGCCTGACGAGTTGTGAGTATGACGGACCCGGACGGGAGTACGTCCCGAGGCATCCACTGCCCCTCTCTGCGGCGGTGTTGCGTGCGGCGCGGCGTGCGTGCCGCGACGACACACACTCGTCTGCCCGATTATGCATGGCGCGTGAATCATTGACGGCGGCGGCCGCCAATGCGGTGGCGCTCGCTGAGTTCCGCACCGCCACTTCAAAGGGGGCGAGGGCGCAGGGAGCAGAGCAGTTACAGGAACCGGTACCGCGCCATCGCCCTCGGTGGAAGGACTGCCTTGACTTGCACACCACACGGAGGGCTTGGAGGTTTGCTCCTTCACGCGACACTGTGGCAAAAAGCTACGGAAAATTATGTTAACAGCGAGGGGGCAACCACTCTAGAAATCTTGTGTCCCCTGAGCGGTAGAACCCCCCCATAAAGGCCAAAAACAAGCAAATTTTGGGTGTTATCGGTTAAAGTCTTGCGAAATCCGGCAAAACCTTTAGCCTTAAGAAATCTTGTGTCCCCAAACATCCAATCAACGTATCCCAGCAGAACAGGCGTATCTGTGGAGCGACCACAAGAAAAGGCGGATCTGTTTTTGACACCGCAAAAAAGGGCGGATCCAACTTTTTGTTTAAAAATACGTTTCAGAAAGTAAGGATCATTTTAGTCAAAATATCGACCAAAAAGTTGGATCCGCCCTTCTTCGTGGGCCTCCTACAGATCCGCCTTTTCTTACGGTCACTCCACAGATACGCCTGTTCTGCTGGGATACGTCGCAATGTGGTTGCCCCCTCGGTAAACAGCTTGTGGTAATTCTCGGTAGCCCCCTTGTCGATATTCTTTGTAGGACCTTACAGTATTCTACGTAGGATCGTACGGTCATCTCCGTAGGACTAGTCTTCCAGGTCCTACGGAGAACCCTGTACGGTCCTACGGAGAAAACTGCAAGAGCAGCCTACGAAGAATATTGATAAATGGGCTTCAGAGAATCTTGGCAAAAAAAATTAACAGAATTTTCCGTTCCTTTTGGTCACAGTGTGTGTCGCAGCTGGCCACATTCTCGGCTATCTTTCCGCGTTCTACTCCCTGCCGTGCTGACTGCTGAGTCGGTGGCTGATGAATTATTTTGAGCAACAAGGCGGTTTGAATGATTTAGTCCGCAGCGCTGTACAGTTTCGTCTATTCCATGAGTTGTCGGGGCAGGAGTGACCTGAGAGAGGGCTTCCTGCAATCGTTTTGTATAACATTTTCAGATGCAGTATGGATTTACGTGACACGTGGACCTAGAATTGTCCTGAGGGAGGGCCAAAGTTGTACTGTTTGCTTACTTGCAGGGGCTGTGTGTTGTTTTTCGAACACTGATAGGGCGAAGTGTTGCGCCTTGGTAAATTGCGTATTGCCTCTTGACTTCTTGCAGATATGAAGTGCTGCCTACCTTTCAAGAGCCTCTCAGGCCTGCTGCCCCCTTTAGACATTTGCTCTGAGCGCTGACCCACCCCAGTGACAGTGAAATATCTCCTTCCAGATGCGAGACCACTGGCAGCGTTGTCGTCGAGGGCCTGGGCCCGCCTGGTGGATGGCTCCCCAGAGCTCTGCCGTGCGGCCCGTGGCGTGCACTACGTACATGGTGGCATGCGTAGGCATCCCTGCTCGTCCCAAAGGCCGGGCAGTGCGCTGTGTGCTGGTGCCTGTGCCAGTTTTTGTTTGGGTTTGATGCAGTTTGCAGTGTTTGTGTGAATAGCCTGCTCGTTTCAAAGTCAAGGCAGTGCGCAGATACTTCAGCGACTTTTCGTTTGGATTGAAGCCCATCACAGCTCTTGTGACACAATGCAAAGAGACTTTCCTGTCCGTCATCATCAACCCGGCGTGCTGGCATCTGTACGAGCCTTCGTCTGGATTTGATACAATTTCCAGTTTTGGTTCTACACTGCGTAAATGGACTCCATCGAACGAGACACTGTAAAACGTAACAGTGACTTCAACCCGATTAGACTCGTAAACGTCGTCGCCTTTTATTTCACACGCTAAAGTCCTTACGGATAGTTTTGTGCAGCCATATTACGGATCGAATTTTGTTCGTAATAAGGATGTTTTTGACCGTAATACAAAGATTTGGGAATCCGTATGTTACAACGAAATTATCTGTAAATTACGGACATCAAAACCTTTGTATTACGGACAAAAACATCCGTATTACAAACAAAATTCGATCCGTAATATGGCTGCACAAAACTATCCGTAACCTACAAACACGCTATCCGTAAGGACTTTACTGTGTAGGCACTGGTAAACCTAAAGCGTAGTATCACCCCCTGAGCGATTCTCACGTTTCGGGGTAGTTTTGGCTTCTCTGATTTGCCGAAAGTGAGAAATATCCAATTAAGTTTTTCTGATTATAGGGGTCCTGGACGATACTAGAGTTATGGCAATGGTATTTATAGTAAAGACCTTGTACTACCTTCCTAAAAACATGAGCCATAAGGTATTCCCATACGTTTTAGTGGGTGTTTTGATCACGGAAATTACGTTATCACGGAAGTTACAAAGTGTGAAAATCGGCTTTAACGGCTGACTCGGGCTTGCTGTGGCTTAAAAGTCGTTCCAGGGTCAAATGATACTCTAAGCCCGACATTTAAGCGGAAAATTTTTTCACCTAGTGCTGCTGCAACATTGGGTAAAGGGTGCCACGGAAGTTACAGGTAATTGTTGATACACGCCATTTTATAATGCTCCAGCCCGCTTTGAGACCGTGTACAGCATGTTAGATTTCCGCGACCCATGCAATTATATCCCAGGGACTCCACTTTGATGGCTTGTGTCATGGAAAGTTTAAAGTTTGGCTTGGGGAGAAGTCCACAGCTGCCTTTTCGAAATTTGTGTAGTGAAATTGAATATACGGAGGACATTTTTCGTTGCAGCATAAGTACCTTTGAAAGAAGTCTGGCGTATTGGTCTTCGGTCGAAATTAGCTCGAGACATGCCAAGCTTCGAATCCCCATCGACAGTTGGCAGCATTTTCGAACCACACCACCACACTGGGGGCGGAAAGTTCGAGTATGCTCTCTTTGGACAATCACGGAAGTTACATTTAGGGTATTCCAAACGCTACGTAGACCAAACCAACGAACGTGAACTTTTCGAAATGTGTGCGTTTAGTGGGCAATGGCCCTCCCTAACATCAGAAACAAACCCCATGTCGATATCTGCGCTCGTTTGGGCACAGGAGTCAGAAGAAACGAAACTACCCCGAAACGTGAGAATCGCTCTCCTGTTTCCAAGCGTAATCAGTTTACGCTTGAAATCAAGCGTAACAGGCTCTTTCTCCAAGATTCCGTTTATCTAAATGCATGGGGAAATTTCCAGAGTATGCTTGATTTCAAGCGTAACGTCTTCAAGCGTACACTCTAGAGTTCTTACGGATAAGTCATCACCGTAAGCTACGGACAAAATTGATTCATTGTAATTACGGATGGGCTTGTCCATATTACGGAGTTTGACATCTGTATTACGGATAAAAAGCATCTTCAGGTTTTGAGAATTTCTGTACGGACAAAATTATCCGTAAATACAAACACAACTATTGATCCATAATTACGGCTACTAAACCCATCCGTATTATCAACTCAACTTGTCCGTAATCCTGATCTGAACCTACCAATCCATATTAACATCAACTTAACTTCAATATGAAGACTAATAAGGTGCAATATAGTTTCATTAGTTTTCAAACTAAGAATAGTACTTTTCCTGTATATTGCATCATTCACCTATTGATTATCCAAACTAAAATCTTCTAAGTGCCATTTTGGCCGTAGTCCAACAGTTATTAAATGACACTCTAAGAAACCTAACCTAACATTTTTATTGAAGAAAGAATTGAAATATAAACAAAAGTATTGTTATATTTATAAATGTATGTTGTTGGGAAGCAGAGAATTTACCTGTGATAATAAAAGCACCCCCAACGTCTCCAATCCTCCACAGCAGATAAGTGTGTGTTAACATGACAGACAGCCGTCCAGTTTTCGCAGACACAAGCATCACTTCTCAAAGAATAAGTGAATTAATAACTTTTATGAACCAGAAACTTGCAAATCATCGTAGTTTCTGATTTTAAACCAAACTAAACGAGGTTAATCTACACAGAAACAAAGGGGTGACTGTGAATGTTGGATTTCTCATACTTTCACGTATGAAAAGTTTAGCGGGACGGTGTTTAGAAAAAATGAAAACACTCCGCTCCGCTGTTTGTGCTGCCGATTTTAGGCACAATTAAGGCCTTCACAATTGGTGTCAGCGATGGTGTCTCACCCCAAAGTCCATCAAGGATGGCATTGTTTGCAAACACTGAAGAAGTCAGTGCATGTGATTTTTGTTGTCACTCGGTTCTTCCAGCATACGGTATCAGATCAGCAGACAGTATAACCTCACCAGCGCACCAACTTCCAAAGAAAACATTTACAGTATAGCTTGAGTATGGTAGAATGTTTTGTGGAACTGCCCACAATAACTGGTTGGTTAGATTGAACAGTTGCTCAGTATGATTATTGAAATGCAGTGATTTCATAATCAACACCAAATTTGGGCGGTAAGTACATCTTTTTCTGCTGTGGCCCTGCTCCACCGTTATCCCGAGGGGGTATGCACTCGCGTAATACCCTGTACACGCTGCCCTGTAATACACTGTAATACGCAGTAATACGCGTAATACCCTGTAATACCCTGTAATACCGCGTAATACCCTGTAATACCGCGTAATACCCGCGTAATACCGCGTAATACCAATGCTATTTCCTTGCCATATCGGGTTTCTAGTGCCTTACTTGCAGTCCTCTGCGTTATTTTATCCATACCGAGGCACACACGAACCCCAAATACATTATCGGGGAGATGTTTGATACTAAGCGTGCTGTTTTAGCGTCCTTACGGTGAACGGACTGTACAAGGAGCGGTTGCTGTCATTGATGTATACTTTCGCGCGCTTCCCTCGCCCCCTCCCACCTAGCATTCTCATCGCCTGGGCCACAAGTTCAAAATCTGCTCTCCTCTTATTATTGTAAGTAAGCAAATGCTAACAGTAATAGATTTAGTCCTAAATGTAACAATATTTGTTCATTAACCGTCAATAATTGAGGGCTAACAACCAAGAACTACTGTTTGCTTTGAGAAGCGTAATCTGTTAGACTCTACTTAATGTTGCTTGGTTAGGATTCCCCAATGCAGGGGTTTAGTTTCATTATTTTCAGGTCTATGTCAACTAATTATGGAATATTTTCAGGTTATCAATAATTCTGAGTGATCGAGAGACCTAACCTAGCCAGAGAGATGAGTGGTTTACAGGTAAATAATCCTTAACCTGTCAGTGAATGTTTCTTTGCCCCTGGCTTAGCCTGGCAATATTTGAAAGCCACTTTTGTACACAAACACTAGAGCACCTACATCCAAATGGACTCTTATTACTATTAACATTGTATTGTTTTTATTTTTAATGTTGATACCATTGACAATTGGTAATCTGTTTCTATGACTAATGTTTGAATGACTAATCTGTTTCGTTATTTCTTTTTGGCAGGCAAGTGGCGATGAGCTGTGGGCTCTAGTAGAGGAGGATGGATACTTTCCTGCAGATTTAAAATTGATTTTAAAAGCGACAAAGTTTGACAATCTATTTGCTCTTAGTCGCTTCGACATGGATAAAGACTTGAAAGAAATTGAATCTTTCATGCAAAACACTTTGCCTAATGTGATTTCCTCTTCTAAATACGAAGAATATTATTCAATTTTCAAGGATAATCCAAAGGCTTTCGTCTTTGTTGGTGGTCTTCGAGCAGCCCTGAAACTTTTAGTGGACAGATCTAAATCCATTATTTCTTTTAACAAGAAACGATTGAATTCTAGTGACAATGTGAGTGATACCAATACCAGCAGCAAAAAGAACAAAGTTACGCCAAGCAACTCTGAACCAACAAACAAAAGCATATGCGATGGAAAAGCAGATCTTGAGAAGACTATCAAGAACTATATTGCAGCCAACTACCCATCTTTAAAAGACAAGGAAATTGTATGCAAAGTGGTTAGAGATGGGTTAGGCTCATTAGTTGCAGAAGCAAACTGTCCAGTACAGGACTGCGAAGAAGAAAGAAAAATAACACGGAATGTAACCAGGTGGAACACCAGTAATTTTTATGCTCATATTAGGAGCCACTTTAGCAAAAGAAAGAACAATAACCTGTCTAAGAATGTCACTCCAATTGACTCTGTTTTCAAACCTGTTGGAGGTAAATCCAGGAGGACTCAGAGGACCATTACTTCATCAGATGAGTCTGATGCAGATGATCCAAACGGTAAGTTTTTTTGTTTATTTTTTTTTTTGCATTTGAGTCAACCATAATATACAAACTGTTGATAATAAAAGTGTTTTTATTACAGGTGAGAAAACAATTGAAAATGGTGATAACACAGAAGGAGAGAGAGAGTCAGGAAATGAAAAAGGTGAGTTCTTTTCCTTTATTTCTTTCTTTTTCTATGGACTGCACATAACAGTTTAATTTGCCCGTAGTTTAGCAGAGGTGTTTGGAAGGTTGATAGTGAACGGATGCTCTTTTTTTGTTTCATCAACAAATTGAATTGTGCATTATTTTTGTCTTAAAATTACAGATAAGGGCCATGGCGGTGCAAGAAATGGGGACATGATTGAAAACAACTCGCCTGAAGAGTCAGCAGATAAACAAAGTGAGTAATATATCTTCTAGTTTTTTCCCCTTGTAAGTACAGTACTGTTGAAACTAATGATATTGTTTTGATTGCAGGGTGTGATGATTCCTCTTCAAATAAATCTTTTTAGAGAGTGGGGGGCAGCAGGAACATGCGGCCCAGGCCCTCCACCATTTACATCATAATTGGCAACTCAACCAATACAGCCGCAGTGAACGACAAAAGAGGAAGCTAGCCATAGCTGCTCAAGAATGCCAGCCAATTACTAAATATTTTAAAATTTTGAATCAATTGGAGATTGAAATTAAGAAAAATGAAGAACTGAGACAGAGCCTTGTGACATTTATGGAAGGTAAAGTGAACAAAGACTCTAATGTTCCTCCCAAAATTAGCACCATGTTGGAGCTACTTTTGGAGTCTGCAAAGAAGAATGCAAACAGAAAGACTGGTGGAGAGCGTTACGATGATGTCATAAAGGAACTTGGATATCTTCTATTTCATGTTGGTGGTCTTCAACTCTATGAAATACTGTGTAACAACTTACCTATACCATCTGCCACCACCATTAGGAGACTCATCTATACTAAAGACTTTTTTATTGAGGGTGCCTTCCGCATAAAGCAACTGAAGCAATTTTTGGATGAAAGAAAATATCCTTGTAAAGTCTTTCTCTCTGAAGATGCCACGGTTGTGGCGCAAAGAGTGCAATACCATCCTAGTACCAATCAAGTTGTTGGATTTCCATTGCCTCTGGATAACAATGGATTGCCAATAGTTGGAGCCTTCCCTGCCACCACAGCTGAGGTTATTGCCCGCTATTTCTCAGGTATGTAAAACATTCTCTGTGCTCTCAATTTTTTTATGTGACTCGAGCAATGTGCTAAACTTGAATCTTACACTTGAAATAGTTCTATTTAAGATATAAATAAGCAGTTTCATTAAAATTCAGCTTTCATTTTTCAAAGAGTCAATACAAAATAAAGCTTTAGTGCATTGAAATTTCAACTAAATGTTAAATTTTCATAAGATTTCTTTTTTCAGAAAATACCGCCAGCTCCTCTGTCTACTGCATCGTTGCTCAACCGCTTGTTCCCAAGTCCCCAACATTTGTTGTGGCAATGTTTGGAACAGACAACAAATTTACGGCACAGGAGGTTCATCACCGTTGGCAGTGGACACTTTCAGCAATGACTGCAGAAGGTGTTGAAGTTTGCGGTTTTGCATCTGATGGTGATGGCCGACTACTGAAATGCATGACCTTTGTAATGGTGAAAGCATCTTCTGATGACAAGTGGCCATGGTTCCGAGCCAAGAGGTCTATGCCTTTTGTGTGTGTCCAGGACCCGATACACATTGGAAACAAATTCAAAAACCGCCTCTTGTCACCCTCCATCATTCTGCCATTTGGAAATTATTTAGTTGCTACAAGTGGTCATTTAGTTGAACTAGTTCAGAAGCATCAACTTAAGGATAAACATCTTCTCTGCATTTCTGACCTTGATCAGAAAGACAAAATGAATCATGCTGCCATGTTAAGAATGTCTGACAAGAAAGTTACAGAACTTCTGCAGGATAAAGTCGAGGGCAGCATGGCAACTGCTTTGTACTTAGACATGATGAGAGAAGTTGTCGAATCTTTTACCTCTCCATCTCTCAGTCCACTGGAACGAATAGAAATGATTTGGAAGTGGGTATTTTATCTGCGACTATGGAGAGAGAAAATTTTGAAGACACCTGGCTACACCTTGGATAGTAACTTTGTGACAAGAAATGTTTACTATTGTGTTGAACTTAATGCTCATGCGTTAATTGTAAGCATTATCAAGTTTAGGGACAGTGAAGAACACAACTTGTTCTGTCCATGGCTCATGTCGAGTCAACCCTGTGAATCGACATTCAGGGATATTCGTTCTGAACAGGTTTCATTTTCAATTTTGGAAATGCAGAGTGCTTTCAGAAGAAGCGACACACTTGCCTCAAGTCGGCTGAATTTAGAGGGAATTATAAACTTTCCTCGACACCATAAAGCCATTCTGAAGTCCAATGCTGTGTCTCACGTTCCAGTTTCTCTGCCTGAAGATTACGAGATAGAGGCAGCTGTTTTGTCTGCATTGTCCGAAGCATTTAAGAATGCTGTGAAAGTTGGTCTTGTAGATAAGAAATCTCCCACATTCATTCCTCCATCAGGCTTGGAGCACATAAATCCTTCTGAAATGGATTTAGAGGAAGATGTTGAAGGATATCAAGACCCTGCAGAAGTTGACGAGCCGGAAGAAGAAAGTGGTGAAACTTATGAAGACACTACTGGTGAAGTATCCGATGTGATGGAAGATCTATACATTGTTTCCAGTGGGAGTTTGAGCCTGAAGACATTTCCAAATGTAAAGATCACAGAGACCTGCCCTTTCATAATTGTTGCTGGCAGTACTAAAGAACCAGAAATTATTAGGAAAAGCACATTCTGTTGGTTGCTCCGGACTGGCAACACCAAAATCAGCTCTGACAGACTGCTACGAGTACAGGAATCATCTCTGCCTAACCACTCCCTACGTAGCAATGAAGTTACATTTCCTTCAAGAGAGCCTGTAATTTCAATAAGTGACTGGTGTGCATTCCGTTCAGAAGATGGTTCCATAGCTGCAGGCAGAGTTCTTGCTTTTCGATACATGACAGGCTCTACAAAGAAGAACCAAGTGTATTCAAGACTCGATGCACCCACTGAAGCACCAGAAAGAGGCGCCAGAGGGCTTGGATGCCTTTGTTCCTGGTTTAAAATCCAGAAAAATCTTATACTTAGCCCAATTTCTATGGACCTACATGGCTACTATGATATGAAGAACTATATTTGTTCCCTTCCTCGCCCCAAAGTGGCTGGGAAAAGTTTGAAACTTAGTTGTTCCTTGAATGCAATCAGGCAATTTCTCAAATAATTGTGATTTGTACTATTTAATTTTAAGTATTTGTGCAATAACACGTGCCATTATTTTATGTTCTTCATACTTATAAGACTGAATGTAAACTGAGTTCATCACATTTATGTTCTGATGAGTTGTCCTCTGCCAAATGTGATTTAAAAAATAACTTACTTGTTCATAGCAGTTCCTTAATAAGTTAGTAACGTGAATGTGATTTTACAGAATAAGACAGTCCTAAGTAAAGATTAATATCTGCTAGTGTTTTAAGTTTTCTATTTTGCAGTTATACTGTGTTTACTGGGAACGCTGATCTCCATGATGGGACTAGTAGTATTATGTATGTGCAAAGTTATTTCAAAAAAAAAAAAAACCCACACCTTGTTCACTGTGTAAAGCCAAAAGTAATTCTAAAATTATTATGTAAATGTAGTGCAATTTCAAGTGAAGTAATTAAGATAAGAGGTAATACAAATTATCTATTTATTATTATTATTATTATCTAGACTGCCATTGTGCTGAAGGTGCACAAAGACTTCAAGACCTTACCGGCTGTGATCAGTAGTCTTGTACTTTGTTTATATGTTCTATTGTCTAGTCATTAGACATATATTTATCTTAACTAGATTTTGTAGAACTATTTTTGTTACCTTTTCATGAAAAACTTTAATTTAGAGCAAGCCAACGTAGCTGTTAATGTGCAATTACATTTAAAGAATGATCATCTTTATTTAAGATGCTTCTGTCTCAGTGATTAAAGTTTTTTGTACCCACTCAGTATACCAAGGAGAGTTTTAATTTCCTAATGTTCCTGGCGTCACCACATTAGATGCCCCCCTAAAAAAACTTTTAAGCCTCAAAATTTTGAATTCATATTCCATGCCTGCCTCGGGCCTTGCCCTGCCTTCCGTGGCGCTGGCGGCGCCCGCCCTGCCTTCGGCTCGGTCAATTGTTGTCCAGATAGTTCAAGCTGTGGCCTGCTGTGGCCCCAGGCGGCTCGAACGCCTGCACTGCAAAGGGTAGGCCAGCCCGCAGTGCACACCAGCTCGGCGGCGGTGTCTACCTCCCAGGCGCTTTGGCTACAACTAGTTGCCCGATGTGTTGCCTACCTACTAGGCGCTCACAGCGGTGCGCGTAATACCCGCGTAATACGCGTAATACCTGCGTAATACCCGCGTAATACGCGTAATACACACGTAATACACGTAATACGCGTAATACTAGTGTAATACACTAGTAATACGCGTAATACGCGTAATACGCGTAATAGGGAGTAGTCTGTACACAGAAATCCGGAGTGCATACCCCCTCGCGTTATCCAAGAGTGTCTATCGTATCAGCAAGTAACTCAATCAATAGCTCTATTATGTGCCAAGTAAAAGTGCTTGCTAGTGCATAAAAAAGATAATTGGCATTAAAAAGTATAATATACTGCTTATCTGTTTCCGCTCAGTATGGCAACGAGTAATTTATGAATTCTGTTTGTATAACGAGTGTCGATGAATGCAATTACTTTGGATTCTGTAAGACTATCCGTAGTTACAAAGCTACATCTGTTACGGACAAAGCCATCCGTATGTTACAAATCAGGCTATCCGTATTACGCTTGCGCAAAAATGTTTGTAAGGTACGGATGAATTTGTTTGTAATACGGATGAAGTAATCCGTAAGAACTCTAGAGTGTAACTTTATGCTTGACTCAAGCATAGAGTGACGCTTTAGTTTTACCAGTGGGGGACACTCGACGCCACAGTGGCAATTTTATTTCAAATTACAGTTCTTCGCGGCTGTTCTTGTTGTCGGAGGACTACACCGCTCCAATGTTGTAGTTTTTGGTTTGGTTTGTGAAAAAAATAATAAACTGAATTGACCTGTTTTCAATTTTGAAGCCTTGTGTTTGTGTATGTCGATCCCTCCAGCTCGTTGACCGACAGTGCCTTTTTCTGCATTTTCTCACGCAGATGACTTGCAGGTTAAATATAAATTTTAATCCAATATTAACCTGTTTTAGGGCATTTTAATGTATGTGCGTTAGAGTGGTGAGTCAACAATATAATGACATGGCTTTGCAGTTTTAAACTTCTGCAGCAGAAAAGAAATAGACCGAGTAAATATTTAAAGACAATTTAGTGCTGTTAGCTATGATTTTAACTCAGATAATACGTCCGTGCAATGAAGTTAAAGCACAGGAAAGCCGCTGTCCGGAAGCCTCCACTCATGGGCCTGTTGGTGTGAAGTCGGGTAGTTGCTGCGGGAACTGCTGCATCTGGCCACAACTGCTACTGCAACAACTCCCCGTTTCCAGTCAGCATGTTCGCGTCAGACGTTTCAGAAGACCATAATGCAGATGGACCTCTAACAGTGTACGTGACGGAGTGGCTGCAGCACATGGGAGACCCCGGCGTGCCTGGCCAGTCTCGCTTGGCCAGGATTTTGCAGTTCCTCAGAGAATCGCGGGTCAGTAACGCGGTTTTTTCTCCCTCTGATTGCTGTGCATTTAAACAAACTCCAATAGTGTTTTGGAAAGTGTTTTGGTCTCGAATGGGAAAATAGATTGTAAAGTTTACACTCTAAGTTGGCTTGCCCTGAAACAGGGCGCCTCCATCGCCCGCTCCACTTTTTAGGGTGCCAAATGTCCCCTCGTTTCTGGGCACCTTTGTCGCCTAGGTAGTCTCGGGCGGGGTGCATAAACTACACAGCAACTGGCCCTCCCCCATGGCAGAGCATGCACATGTGCCTAATTCCTGAGGTGCCCAGATGCGTCTCTTTCAAAGTACCAGTTTTATTAAGTGTATGAGGTGGGGATGGGGCAAGAAGGTAATGACTGCTGCGAACTTAACTGGGGGCAGACGGCGCTCGTGCTCATTGTGGCGATGACGCTGCTGGCGCTGGTGGACACTGTGCAAGAGACGAGTGGCCGACCGTTGGCCGAGCGCGTGTCCATGCGGACGATGAGTGCAGGCATATCCTGCACCGTGTCTCTCGTCATCCTGTCGACTCGCAAGCGGGTTATCCTGGACGCTCTGCACCAAGCGCGTCAAGCGGCCCTGCAGCTTGAGGCTGACCCCACCGCGGAAGGCAAGGTGCGTGCAGTCCAGGAATAAATAGCATTTAACGTAACTAAGACTTCCTCCGACTCGGTCGGGTCGGCCCAGATGTCATTACCGATCCCGACTTCCATGATTTGATCGTGCGTCTGGTCGAAGGTTCCATCGAAACAGAGGTAGATTGGGGGAGAAACGTACGGGGTAAGTACAACCCTTGTGAAGCTGATATTTTGACTTTCAGCCATCCCTCAACTAGAGATTTACATAGAGACATACACACAGAGATTTACATTTACAACTTTACATACCCACAAGGGGGTGGGGGGTACTTTTCTTCCCCTGTACTTTCTCTTCCCAAATATAAAGGTTAAAGTTGTAAATTGTAACTTGAACTTTCAACGGATGATCACGAGACGTTACCGTCAACGGGGGTAACTTGGGACACCAGGGGTAACTTGGGACAGTCTGCCCTGTACAGCTTGTTGGTACTGCCATTCAGCGACGGGGGTTCATAGCGTCAAACCCGCGGCAGGGTTTTGTTTCAGAGGCCTCAGGGCACGCGCGGAAAGGTGGAAGAGGTGCATAACATCACAATTAGTATTTGAGAAACAGGAAACTACATAATGGGGTTTTTTGGGAAAAATATGTAAATCATTGACAAGTTGACCCTAGTGCAAGGAGTGAAATGCAGATTTGGCCTTTTAGTATCTCTGGATTGTTAGATCATACGCAGACAATAACGTTCGAAAAAGGGCGTTGTTTATGGGTTGTCCCATCTTCGGTCCACACTTCAATTTATAAAAAATCGAAATTTTACGGGGTAACTTGGGACAGCCCTTTTCCTCATTTTTTCCAGCGGGCCTAGCCTTCTAGGATTTGACTGCCCCGGCCCCTGACATAACTTAAACTTGGGGTTTTACGCTGATGAGGGAAAAAGAGATACCTTGCTCAGCAGTTTTGCCCTTCTGGTAATCCATATTTAAAAAATTTTCCCAAAAAAATGCTTGGATAATACCAGTAAAAAAGAGAGTTCTACGTAGAGCCCTAGATATAGTCCAATATCGGTCCTACAATAGTTCCTGGGCCCTAAATTTCTTGGTCTACATGAGGTGACTTAAATTTATTTCATCCATTAACATCAATGATGCATGGGAACGTAGCTAATTATTACTGTCCCAAGTTACCCCCGGTCATGGGGTAATTTGGGGACACTCTTACGAGACCGCTGGGAAACGATATAATCGAGGCAAACGAACCAGACAAGCATGAAATCATGGGGAAAGGGTCAAACTTTAACATAGTTGGGATCCAATGGTCTGGGTTGAGAATCTTGCCTCTGGCGTTGAAAAAACGTGAAAAAGTGTCCCAAGTTACCCCCGTTGACGGTACGATTTGTCAAATATTTTTTAATCTTTCGAAAGTGCTGCAGACCAGGGATCCTTAACTTAACTTAACATTTAACGAACACTGCTGTCATAACGTAACATAAGACAATGTTCGCTATAGGTTAAGGGTACGGACTTATGAAAGTACTTGCAAAAGTATATACACACAAATTCGAGACATAAAAAAATAACTTACCCTTTTGAAAAGATGTAAGAAGTTAAGGGTAATAACTTTAACTCTTATGATAACGTTATGATGCCCTTATGAGGTAAGTTAAGGATCCCTGCTGCAGACTTGTTTTGGCGCGAGGGGGTAACCACTCGCAAAGTCCTGTTTACACTGGACTCGCCGAAATCTTGCGCGAAATCGGTAGGCTAGAGATCCCTTCAAAATCTGGTAAAATCTCACGAAATCCCATCACTGTAAATCCAAAGGCAATACTTTTAGTACCTTTTTTGGCGATACAATTGAGTATCGCCAATAAACGGCCTTACGGAAAAGTATTGCCTTCAAAGCGGCAATACACAAAAGTATCGCCAAAATTTGGCGATACTTTGGAGCATTGCCACGATTTGGCAATAAACGTCGAACAAATCAAGGGGCAAGCCCTTTGGGTTTTAATGCCGTGGTTTTGGCAATATCCAAAAGTATTGCCAAATTTTGGCGATACTTTTTGGTATCGCCGTTCTGCAGTCATTACTTTTCCGTAAGGCCGTTTATTGGCGATACTCAATTGTATCGCCAAAAAATGTACTTAAGTATCGCCGTTGCATTTGCAGTGATAAAAATCCGGTGAAATCTCGCGAAATCCCACCAAAATCTCACGAAATCTGGCATAATTTAGCCGCGAGATCCTGTGAAATCTCTACCTTAGAAGAATCCTGTGTACAAAAAATTCCCAGTGGTCGCCGCCTCGTTTTTTGCACGCAACTTTCTCTTTATTTTAATCATTTACTTTTGTACGTTTTCTACATACTCAGATTTTTTTTGTCAGTAACTTAATGTCATTTGAGTGCATATGCTAACGAAATCCTTTCAATGCACCCATAATGTCTTCAAAGGATGAAAGTGTAACAAACGTTTCTCTAGCGTTAAGTTACGAACCCCCGGTTCCTTCTCTTACGAAAATCTAATCACCAATCTATTCAGTCAATCTGTTGGAACGAAAAGCGAATGCCGCAGGTGGAGATGGCGGCAGAGGCTCGGTGGGGCCGTCTGGTGCTGTGGCGGGTGTCTGCGACTTACGCCGCCGGCGTCGTCATGGGTGTCGTTTTGACTATGCTTTACGACGACTCCACCGTCGTCAACAAGGGCATTTTGCAGTTGGGCCAAGTAAGACACACCAAATTTTCACACTCCGAGCGGAACTAGGGTGTGAAATGCAACAAGTATCTTATTTGCACTCGAGACTGAGGGTGAATAGTCACAATGGAGGTTCATATGTGTTGACAAACTTTATTTCAAACGGATCAGTTTGAAAGTTTCAAAGTACATTGTCATGTTTTTATCTGAAAACTCATAAAAATGTCACTTTAGATGGTTTCCCGTGTTCCAGAATCAGTTCCAATGGTTTTTCGGAGGCCGTGAATCAGATCGATGGTTCTTGTGGATAGGTGCTTCGAGATTGGTGGTGATTGCTGCACGGGACGGATACGACGAGTATGCCTCGTGTTTTTAGAGCGTGGCTTGGTGGCAGCCCTGGGGCCCCCAAGCTCTGCTGCGCGTCAAGTGGGTGTTGGTGGAGTTGTGCGCTGTCTGCTGCTGCCAGACGGCCCTGTTCACCGTCCTGTTCTTCGAGCAGGCCATGCACAGGGTGTGCGCGGTGTTGCTTCGCGAAGTGGGCAGGCGTCTCCAAGACCGTCAGGTTGGTTTAGCCTCGTCGAGAATGGACCAATTCTGCGTTGCATTGGAGTCAACGACCTGTCTATGAAGACCGCCACGAAACAAAAATAACTAGCATCGCTTGTAAAGAAGCTTTGTAATAATATATTTTGTTTCTGGATTAAGGTCTTTCCTACCCTACAATGGGCATTTGCCAATAGGTCTAGACTTTCGACAAATATTTGAAATGTTGCAGACTTAAACTCTTTATTATTTAAAAAAAAAATACTATTTCAAGAATGCCTAGGAGTTACGAAGTAGATTTGATTATCGTGTAGTGGTGTGGAGGAAGAAAAAAGGTGTGAAAAGGGGATAGGAGGGCGGCTATTCCAAATTCAGTTCCAAATTCAAATGTTCAAAATCTTCAACACAAAACATATGTCAACCTCTTGCCTTTCACTTATGCAGAGTAATTGTTACAGTCACAATTATAATCACAAACAATAATGACACAATCAAAACATAAATGGCAAGCATTGAAAGAGTTACATAGTCAACATGACGCAGAGTTCAAATCTTAAACATTTTCAAATACAAAAATTATTGTAACAAGAACAAGAAACTGGATTGACTGGACTAAACTATTCAAGCTTCATTCCGTATCTCACTGCACCAACCAGTGAAAGACTGGTCCATCTTTAGTTCACCTCACGCGTGGTTCACTTTGTCTGGGCGGCCAGTCCTTTCTTTCATGTTGAAGTGGTTTTGCCCTTGCTACAAATTAATGGGACTAAATTAAAGTTAAATTTAATGGAAAACATATCGATTATACTTTCAAAGATATTTGAGATCTTCCAACAATAATGACAGAAAAGAAACAAAACATAAATGGCAAAGCAGTGAGAGTTACATAGTCAACATATAGTGACAAAGTTCAAACACAAAAAAATTAATATAACAAAAAACATGGAATGACTGGACCAAACTATTTAATCAAACATCATTCCGTATATCGCACCGACCAGCGACTTAAGTTCGCCTTGGTTGGGCCTCCAGTCCTTTCCCTGCAGTTCAAAGTAGTTGGCTGAGCGATAGCGAAGCCTGTTACTCCAGTGGGGTTGAAAAATTTTTTCCCGTCTGTCCTTTTTGTGTGTACACTACTCCTCCTGAACGGCTCGGCGATCCGGCTGAGATTTTGCCGGCTTTTTAGGATGTCCTTGGCTCGGCACACGCGAAATTTCACCATCCTAGCTCAACTGGTTTTGGGTTTTTTAAAACCGAAAAAAAACTTAAAAAAAAAGGCGAAAAATCGGTTTTCTGTAGGCAAATTTCCTCTGTTTGGAGAAAGGGGGTCGCGGGGCGGAGCCCCCCAGCCAGGACAAGTGAAAAAGCTACAAGGGTCAAGATCGCGTTATCGGGAGATGAAGCAACTCCATCTAGAATGAAAGGGGGGGCTGGGGGGCGGAGACCCCCAGCATGCGTAAAATCGACTATGGGAAGCCATTTCCTGCCGAAGGCAGGCTGGCCGCAGGCCAAGGTAGGTACGCCAGGCGCGGGGGAAAAAGGCACGAGACATCGCGAAGCCTGTTACGACAAGACGCGGTTGGCGGGAAACCTACCGGGTTTACTTTTTCTTTGCTGCAAATTAATGTGACAAAATTATAGTTAAATTTTATGGCAACACTTGCAAAAATATTTGAGAGCTTACCTGTAATGGCGAGTCTTCCATCAGGGTTGCGCCTTGGAAGGAAGTTGTCCTTCCGAAGCTAATTCTTTTTTCTGCTCCGTGCAGGAAAGCCATTTACAGAGAAAAGAAGCTATCGAAAGGCAGGACCTTCTGATTACTCAGTTTCGCGACAAGCTTGTTGCAAAAATACTGAACTTAATAAAAGAATGCAAAATATTAAAAAGTTACATACTAATCAAATTTTCATTCAGCTAGATCCTCAGCAGTGAGAGGAGCAGCTAAGCATGAGGAGCAATGTTGCCACTTTTTCAGCCACCCACTTTTTTTTTTTAAAACATCTTTAATAATAAATAAGTTACAGGGGGAGCAGGGACCATTACATTGGACACTAAAAAATAATTTGTTTATGAAAAACCTGTCTGGGCCCCGTCGACTGAAAACTGATTACTTTTATTGCTTGTTGACGGAGCAAAGGCCAGACGTACAATTATTAGTTTTTGAACAAATACAGATAATTATGGCATACATCCTTCACAGAAACAGTGGAGGCACACTTTGAACTGCTTGGAAGAGATGGGCTTTTCACAGAGTTGCCACTTCACTCCAGTAACTTTTGGATTCTACCGAGGACGTCCTCTCTTCCTTGGTAGTTGTTTCCTTGATGCAGGCTTTCTTTTCTTCCTAGCGGGATCATCACAATCCTCATATTCGTTCTCCTCCTCGTCACCTTCTTGTGTTAGTGGTCGTCTACGCTGGCGGCCAACTGCCATAGAACCTTTTCAAGGCATAAGCATTTGTAAAAAAATTGTTAATCTAGAAAGACAGCAATGCTGTCACACACGCATACACTGTGGCAAAAACGTACGGGAAATTTTGTCAATTTTTTTGCCTGGATTCTCCGTAGGCTCTTACAGTATTCTCCGTAAGGCCGCCCAGTATTCTCCGTAGGACCGCACAGTATTCTCCGTAGGACCTGGAAGACTGTATAGTCCTACGGAGAAGACTGTACGGTCCTACGGAGAATACTGTAAGAGCCTACGGAGAATATTGTCAAGGGCTACGGAGAATTAGAATTACCCAGGGATCCTTAACTTACCTCCTAAGGGCATCATAACGTTATCATAAAAGTTTAAGTTATTACCCTTAACTTCTAACATCTTTTCAAAAGGGTATGTTATTTTTTTATGTCTCGAATTTGTGTGGGTATACTTTTGCAAGTACTTTCATAAGTCCGTACCCTTAACCTAAAGCGAACATTTTCTTATGTTACGTTATGACAGCAGTGTTCGTTAAATGTTGAGTTAAGTTAAGGATCCCTGGAATTACCACAAGCTGTTTACAGATTTTTCCGTAGCTTTTTGCCACAGTGTTGCGGTGCTTTTCACGAGTCGATCACAGATCTCAATTAAAATTAAGGAACTTGAAGAAAACAATGAACAGTGGAATTGGACAGACCAGTGCACGAAAGTATTTTCCTTCACGAAATGACACGCCTTTCAATGGCCAGCAGAGCGCCGCCTTGGTGTACACCGTATCCGTGCACATTGGAGTGCTGCGCGCGTGTCGGTTGATGAACGCTGTATTCGGGTTGCTCTTGCCTTTTTACCTGGTGGTAAGTGACGAAAGTACTAACTCTCCCGCGATTTTCGGGAGCTAGAGCTTCCTTTCCGACGTGGCTTTCCTGCTGCATAACGAGCAGTTGCAGGTCATAGAAGTAGTTACAGTGTCCTTGATTTTCTTTGAAAGCGTCACACAAAACTAAAACAAAAAAACTTAGCGGCGCGTGTTGTTTGGGTGTATTGGTTGTTGCCAACGTTCCGTTTCGATAACCAAAATTTTTTTTTACTACCGCCGATAGTTTTGATACGACTTTTGAAGTACTAACGCGGATATTGGTAGTATCGGGTAGTACACTGCAAATATAAGTGAAAAACAGTCGCACTATATTGAAACGAGAACCTAAATGGCTCACAATGATCAGTCATAATGATTGTTTCGCTCACAGCACGGTAAAAGTGCCGCCTTGAAATCCAAGGGGATGCCTTGTTATATTTCCAAGGGGTTTGAGTGAATTTCCCAAGTGGTCCTAATCAAGATCTTTTTATAAAACTGGGTTCGTCTCGACCAGACAAACAAAAAAATGTCAAAACATCTCATAGGTTTCGATGGGAAATGAAAACGTTATTCAGCTCCAAAAGTACCAAAAAGGTCATTTTATAAAGTTTGCAGGTGGAAAGCCTTTTCATTTTCCATCCAAGCGTATGACATGTGTTGACATTTTTTGATTGTCCTGACGAGACGAATTCATTTCTATCAGAAGATCTTGATTTGGACCACTTGGAAAATTCACTCAAACCGCTTGGAAATAATAACAAGACATCCCCTTGGATTTCAAGGCGGCACTTTAACCGTGACCAAATTTGTTAACTACGTAACAGATTAGCGTCGGGCTGTCCCTGCTGAGCACCGTGGCGCTGGTGCAGTCCGGCCGGGGCGCGGACACCTACGCCGTGTCCTGCTTCCCCTACCTCTTCATATTCTTCGTCCCCATGTGCTTGGCCGGGCAGCGAGTGCAAGACGCGAGTCAGGGGCTTTTGTCTGCTGCCTACAGGGTAGGCCTGGCAGCTGCACAACATCACGACCCCGGGGGTGGGGGTATGGCTTTTGTAGGAGAGGAGCTGATACGTACATAGTGTGCATGTGATATGAATGTCTGATTGGATCAGTCATCCCTTGTCTAACATAATCAAAGCGGCTACAGTGGCTACACACTGAAAATCTACTGGCGTGACTTCGTGCCGCTGCAGGGGCGTGAATAAAGTGTCACGCCAAAAATCGGCATTACAGAAAAGTCACGCCAAAAATCGGCGTGACTCAAAAATTAACGCCAATCTTTGGTGTGAATCTCTTGTCATGCCGCTTTTTGGCATGACGCCAAATGAGGGCGTGACTCACATGTCACGCCGTTTATCGGCGTCAGCCGGATTCCCGAAGTCGTTCGTTACCCCCTCGCTCCAACGAGAGTGTGCTCTGATCAGTTCGCACCTTAGTTCCCATGGAAATATATGCAGCTGAGTACGCGTGTGAGTTACGCGTGAGTACACTGGTAGCCACTTAATAAAACGTCACATTCGTTCGAATGAATTTTGTCACGTTCGTTTGAAAACGATGTCACATTCGTTGGAACGTGGCTCTGCCGTTTAAGTGGGGTGCCACATCAGCCGGTGGCAACTCCCCTTGCCCGGCTGAAACCAGGCTCGGAAGCGGAGCGGCTCCGTTTTCCAACTTTTAAACGAATGAAGCTAATAGAAGCTATTTGATTGCCACATAACGAGTACTACATCAGGGCAACGTAAAATTTCACGTAGATTACGATTCTATACTTACATTTGCAAAAGGACGAAGGATTGCGAAAATAATCACGGATTATGTTCATATTGCGGCGTCGGCTCGCTCGTATCAGCTCGTCTCATATTTGCCGAATGTTAATGTAAACAAACTAAAGTAGCTAGAAGAATACGGTCACTTGCAATCGAAAGATCACACTTTTTCCCTTGGTATTTTGACCATAGCAAAGCTCGAACGCCCGCTAAAACAAGTATTTCTCTAAAGAAACAACAGGGAATGATTTGAGCCGACATAACCTCAATTCCGGAACAGGTTTTGTTTCTCTGTTTAAATACTTGTTTTAGCGAGCGTTCGAGCTTTGCTATGGTCAAAATACCAAGGGAAAAAGTGTGATCTTTCGATTGCAAGTGACCGTTTTCCTCTAGCTGCTTTAGTTTGTTAACATTAACATTCGGCAAATATGAGACGAGCTGATACGAGCGAGCCGACGCCGCAATATGAACATAATCCGTGATTATTTCCGCAATCCTTCGTCCTTTTGCAAAGGTAAGTGCAGAATCGTAATCTACGTGAAATTTTACGTTGCCCTGATGTACTCGTTATGTGGCAATCAAATAGCTTCTATTAGCTTTATTCGTTTAAAAGTTGGAAAACGGAGCCGCTCCGCTTCCGAGCCTGGTTTCAGCCGGGCATGGGGAGTTGCCACCGGCTGGCCACATTCGTTCAAACGAATGTGAAGTCACTTTCGTTGGCTCCCGGTGTACACGCTAAAAAGAGTGTACTAAGTGTACCGCTGGGTTTGCAGAGTGGTGACGCTCTACAACTCGCCTGCGGAGGCGAGAAGTCGCTGTAAGAAAAAGTGTAGATAGTACAACAAAAGTACAACAGAAACTGAACAATAAAAGTACAACGAGAACTGTACAAACCACAACGAGCCCTGGACTGCACAGCACTTGTCATGCCGGATCCATTGTACTTTGTACAACAATTGTTGTACTGGAAAAGTACACTAAATTCCTGCCAGAAATTTGTGTACTTTTGTCATTTCCCGCAGTGTCAGATCTTTCTAATTGTAGACCATAGGGCTAGGCCATTCCAGGTGTTATTCACTTGAAATTCCTGTGCACACACGAACGACTCTGGAATGTGCGCAGGGCCCGTGGCTCGAGGAGGACGTCCGCGCGCGCCGCTCCCGCTTGATGTTGATGACGTCCTGCTCTCGGCCTGCGACCTTCTCGACGCCTGGAGTGGGTTGCTTGAACCGCCCCACTTGCCGGAAGGGGCTGCGGTCGTGGTTCCAGTTCGTGCAAGTCCTCATGAACTTGAAGACGCATTGACATTGGCTGCAGGTCGCAAGTTCGGCTCTCTGCGCACCGCTGACTTTAAATAACCTCGGTTTTTAGCAGATGCACTGGTAAAACTAAAGCGTTTTCAAGCTGTTTCTGTTTTCAAGCGTAATCAGAATACGCTTGACTCAAGCACAGAGTTACGCTTTAGTTTTACTAGTGTGATTGTTAAAGTACTAGTAGGGTCTCCCGCCAGAAATGTTGGGAATTAAAATTTGTCGTAATGCTCTGCGCTTCGCATCAAGTTAAAGAAAAAGCTGAAAACTCGATTTTTAGTTATGTGCAATTTTGATCTTAACCTACATGGTTTTGACCCATTCAACTATAAAAACGGCAAAACTCGCGTTTTTGCCCAAAAGTGGCCATTGGACTTTCTTTGTTCTATAGTTCTTATCTAAGGACACCAGAACAAAGTCAACCACTACACTCGTGTAAATCTTGTCAGAATTGTGTCTGAAAACCTGATCAAAATTCGCGCACCTCTGAAAGCTGAAAACATGTTCTGACATTCTGCAGAACTCAGGCCATCAATATCAGCATAAGTTTTCAGAATTTCAGCTTTCAGAGGTGCGCTAATTTTGATCAGGATTTCAGACATGTTTCTGACATTCTGACAAAATTTACACGAGTGTACCTCCGCTATCTCCATTCCCTCCACATCTGCTCTTGTCCAAGGTACTTCTAAACCAGCAAGTGTCTCCACAACCACAATGTCATCTACCGTCTTATCCTCCTAAACCTATGAATCCAGGATGAATTCTACTACGGTTCACCTAAACTTTTTCGCCTAAAACCTAGATGCCAAAGTTTTTTTTTTTTTTGCCGAAAGTTAACATTTGTCATTTGACCTAAAAACGTTTCACCGCAAAAAGAGCTTGCACAGTGTTTGATTGTAGAGGCGCCAGCCGCCAGCATTGTTGCCTGCTCTGTGGCTGGGCTTGCATGCCTGAGTGGCCGAGTTTGTTGTGGCCAAGTTATGGCCGAGTTTGTAAAATCTATAAAAGGGGGCAATATTTTGACGCACGAGGGGTTTACATACCGCAAGAGCAACAAATATAAGGACGGCAGTACTGGGTGTGTACGAAGAAACCTACGTGCAAGGCGCGGGCTACGACACGGGGAGATCCACCCGAAGTCCTGAAGGCTGATGAAGACAAGCACACGCATGCCCCTGACCAAGAAACCATCGCGGCAAAGAAGGGTGTCAACCGCATGAAGGAGGTGGCGGTGGCAGTGAACCATCCAGAAAAGGCACCCTCAGTCATCATTCGGGACGGCCTGGTGGACGTGGATGAGCTGTCTCAGCTGCCGCAGCGTTCCGCCCCAAGGAGGACCCTCAATCGGAAGCGCTAAAGTGAACTGCCGAGAAACCCCAAGTCACTGGCGGAAGTGACAGATCTGCCTGACGAATTCCGCATGACCAGCACAGGTAAATTAACAACAAAAATACGATTTCAAGAAATCCTAGGAGTCAAGAAGTCAATTTGATTATTGTGTAAGAGTGTGGAGAAAGAAAAGAAGTGGTGTTGTGAAGTTGTGGCTCAGGGAACTACTAATGGCAGTGGTACCAATGTAGTCGATGTGCCACCGAACAAACCACAGGGCAGGGCAAGGGGGCTAACCCGAAGACCGCTTGCCGCTTGCGCTGTTGCCAAGTCTCTGCGCCGACTCGAGGAGTCGAGCAGACGACACACGACGCGGAACCCATATAACCTCACATCAAACATCATTTATGATTCCAGCATTCAAAATTTGTTTTCATCGTGACAGCGGACAGCTTTTACGGGGATGAGTTATTGGTTGTTCCTCATTTTAGAAGGATTGGGCAGAGATTTTCTGTCCAAACCTTCTTCTTTTGATAGTGTGTGGTTAGTTTGAGTAACTGCAATCTTACGACAGAAAAAGGTCCACAAGCTCTGAGCGCTTGTTCATACACTACGAATGTTTGAGATCACTGAACCTATTCGAGAAGCCCTTTTACGATGATGATCCTGAACGACAAAGTACAATGGGCCAGTATTTTGACCTGCAGTGACCAAAAAATTCTCTTCACTCTTTGAAGTTTGGGTTTCCTCTTTGTCGACACTAATTTGTACAAATGCGACTGGTAAAAGAAAGAAACAAGAATTTCTAGGGCTATGAAATAGTTTTAACAAATCTCACAGGTACATGAATAGAATGATTGAAAATGAAATAATTTTAATGAATCTCACAGGTACATTAACATTTTAAAACCAAAGAACCTCGAGCAACATTATCACGCATGATTTGTGCCGAGTACTTGATACAAATCTCAGCAGTCTTACATGTCACTTAAATGAATTCAGATAATTGTCAGAGAGAAAACCAAAGGCTGGATGACAGAACTTCTCTACTTCACTTTTATTATCGAAAGGGCGACTTAAATAATAGTATAGACATATGTAGTCGATTATAATAAGATTGTGGATGTAGTATTACAGGTATTTAGAAGAAGATACTAGAAAGTTAAAGTAAAAAAGGTGCCAAGCATAAAAAAACAAACAATATGATGCATTCCCTTGCATTCTCTTGAACCAAGCTCTGAAGTGGCGCTTCACTCTAGATGTGGATGACTGACGAAAGTGTAGGTACTTTCCCTATGTCCGATAAAAATAGCAATTAAATTGTATATTGTAAAAACAAACCGGAGGGAAAGAGAACCAAAGCAACCAGTTGAGTTGCACTCACCTGTTGTAACTGTTGCCTTCACAGTTTTCACACTATCAGCTTTCATACTTGCAGCTGCACCTACAACAGTTAGAAATCAATATTTTTCACTACAGGGCGCACTCCCCCAACGAGTTCAGAATAAATAAAAACGAATAGACAGACAAATAAAACAATCAGCACACTTCGGACAAAAGTGTTCATCGCAAAGCATAACTGAATAGTATTGTGTCTTTAGTTAGTCTGTATTCACAGGTCGTTGTCTTGCTATTCGCAGTGCGTTTGTCATTTGTCTGTTTCCGCCAATAAAACCCCAGTTATGATTCCAGAGGCATAGATTGTGGCTGTGTTCATTTACCACTCCTTCGATCCGGATAAATCAAGCCCTACTATTTCTGAAACAGATTATTGAACAACTCAGAGACTCAAGGAGATACACAATAATTGGCGACGAGAAGAAACGAACCGTAGATAGTGGCAAAGACGCGGAAAGAGGAGGTAGTGGTGGAAACAACAATGTTTCAAACATGCCACAGACAAGTTCCGGATGGAGAGGTGGAAGTAATCCAAGCCGAGGTAATTATAGAGGAGGATTTTCAAGAAAAATAGAGGAATATCTTAACGAAATAATGACCATCCTCTGGTGAAAATAATCAGAGGACACACTGTAAAAAAATTTCTCGTAAAATAACGAAAATTTTTTGAGCAGTTCTCGCGAGATGTGATAATTCGTGTCCTCTCTCTGGTTTTTCCCAAAACCTAAAGTCGATTTTAACCGGGTCTTTTCCTACCTTTATTTTTTTTGCCCTTGCGGACAAGGTACAATTCTCATCAAGATGAAATTTTGCCTCCTTCCACGTTAAATTGCAATTTTTACCCTAGAATGAAATTTCCGTGGACATTTTTTGGCCCGCCCTTCTATTCAAAAAATAGGGGGGGGGCCTATGCATTTGCCTTTGTTTTGTGTGTTGTTGTTGTTGTTGTTGTTGTTGTTGGCGTCTGTGTACAAGGAAGGAGTTGAGCTAGAGTAACCAGATTTGGAGGGTACTTCAGGAGTACCGTCCAAACAAATAATCCGGTGGTGAAAATCCTGTCCGGGTCGCAAGGGCTGCTGCAGGTGCATCATGGTTTACATGAGCGGGAGGGGGATTTCCGCCATTTTTGGGTGCTAGCAGGGCACATAGGGGTATTTTTGGAATCGGGGCGACGAGACAAGATGAATGGACCTGGTCCCGACCCCATCGGCCGCTTTTACAAGTTGGCCAGATCAGGATCTTAAAAAAAAGGGGGTCGACCGACTAAAAATTTATTGCAGATTCGATTGGTCTCAGCGAGACCTTTCCAAGGGGGTCGGAAAGGGGGTCCAGGGAGCCCGACTTCGTCTATTAGTCACATCAGGATCTTAAAAAAAGGGGGTCGACCGACTGAAAATTTTTACTTAAGTTTTGGATAGGTCTTGGCAAGACCTCTTCAACGAGGGGTCGGAAGGGGGGTCCAGGAGCCCGCCTTCATGAGTTATGGGAAAAAGTGCGACGGACTCGTTTCGCGCTCCTGCTGTGCCCCTATTGCAAGGAGTTGCAGTAGCATGGCAAATATGGGTATTTTCGGAATGAGGGCGAAGAGACAAATGAAATGGGCATATTCTAAGGACAGTTGGAGTAAAAAGTGTAAGGACTATTGCATATTGTGAATAGAAGGGCGGGCCTAAGTCACGATGGTACATCGATAGCTTTGCTTTACCCGCTCACGGTGTGTGTGATGCGGGCGGGCCGAAGGCCCGGCCCTTCGACTGGCCAAGTTGGGTCTGATGCGAGGGCCGAAGGCCCGAGAAAAGGCCGCCGGCAGGCCAAGCTGGGCCGGCCCCCTGTCGAACCGAGTTGCCGGCGCAGCGAAGCGGAGCTGGCAACTCGGTTCGACGGAAGGGCGGAGCCTAGCTTGTTGATGTCCTACGCTCCAGATTTGGGGCTTCCCGCCTCTACTACAGCCCAGAGGAGTATGAGAAATCACTTTCGCAAAGTGCATTTTGTTCTACGCAAGTGAGGCTACGTTTTGACGTGTAGAACGTGTCTCTCGGGTAAAATTTGCAGACACAAGATGATTCCGAAAATTGTCTTCCACAACCAAAATTCAAAAAGTCTAAAATCGGTTTTTTTGGGACGGTTTTTCTACCTTATTTGCGATCGTTCTGAAACTTTTCTCACATTGTTGGTGCATTCGTTCTACACAATTTGCAAAGTGGCGGAGTAATGTGGCACCATTAGAACGGAAAATATAAAGTTAAATAAGTTCCAAAGCGGCGAAAAAAATGGCCTAGCAAGCAATAAGTGTAATTTCCGTTCCACCCATTCCTTGCAGACCATTCAAAATTTTGATTGCGAACCAATCCTTGTGTGTTTGCCTTGTGGACAAGTTGTTCCAGTAAAATTTTGGTTCCATTTCATGCAATAATGTAATTTCCGTGGACTGTAATTTCCGTGGACAAAATGAGGTTTTCGTTGCGTTTCACGTGATTTTGGCCTCGCAAGGGGCCTCAGCTCAAAAGTATGTCGATATTTCTCTGTTTTAAACCTCTCTTATGGAGGGAATGCCATTCTGGAGGGAAATGGGCATGGGGAATGGGAAGGCAAGCTGAGGAAAGTCGTGGCGTAGTTTAACACAACATCCATCAGGTTAAACCCGCCGCAAGTCACAAAATGGACCCTAACGAGCAGCGAGCCGACTTTTTGCAAGAGTCTAAGGTTTCGACTCCACTCATCGGATTGGTCAAAAACTGTTTTTCTGGACAACCAAGCGGTTTTATGCTGCTTTGTTCGGCGCGGCCGCCATACTGCCTTGACAGTTGTGACTGCGAGTCAGTGAAACCGTTCAACGTTGATTATTCAGATCGGAAAGCTTAACCGAAAGCTTAGAGTCTTGCGAAAAATAGGCTCGCTGTATTTTGGGATCTAGCTGACCATTTAAGACTTGCGGTAGACTTAACCTGACCGATATGTGAAGCGACATGACGTCTTTCCTTAGCTTGCCGTTCGAATGCTAAGACCCTGTTTATCGAATAAATCGCAGCAATCTGTTCCTCAAACTCATAGAGTAATCTTTCTGAAAATATAGGTTAGTAAACGTGGGTGCCAGATATGCTTCCAGGAGGGCTAAATAGACCGCACCGCGAGCGGGCCGCTGTCTCGACCCGCCGATCAACTTTTCCTTAACTGATCGCACCCATTATTAATTATTTTCCGAACATAGACACGCAGGAGCTGATCAAGAGGGACTTTCCTCCGTTGTCCACTGTAGGGCCCATCATTTGCCAAGTGTGAGAGGTACCGCCTGGGAGGTAAAAACTATGCAACCGTGGTCAGAAGAAAATGAATTCACAGTTGTTCCCGAGACAAGGGAATTGAGCCGGGAGAGGTGGACACCGGACCCAGTCCTGCTCAAAGAGGCTGTTCTAGGGTGCCCCCCCCCCCGGGGGAATGTATACCTCGTCACATACTGGTCACACTACGAGTGGGACCTTGTAGCCGCATAGGTTCTTCTCCGCCAGTATAACGTGGCACCCCAGTAAGGACGGCCGTGTCCCGTTTGGCAGTGCACGCGGGCATGTGTCGGGCCCGAAACGGCATACGATCAAATTGTGGTCTAGCCCGAAATTTTATTGTGAGGTACGCAACATGGAACCAGAATGCACAGATGTGGAGGGAGCTGCCTAAACTGCTAGGCGTTTGCGTTCGTATCGCACCTATCCTAAGGGCCCATTAAAATGTAATTTCCGTGGACAGTTTCTGAGGCTGTGTAATTTCCGTGGACGGCAAAAAAATTAAAATTGCGATATTTCCTATATTATTGGGGTGATAGCTCGCCCCGATGAATCCATGATCCCTAGTGATGTTCTTAACAAGATAAATGCAAAAAACCCGGTTTCAATTGAACTTTTTTTCAAAAAGTTTCTGGGCCCAAAATTAACCATTTCGCGAGAACTGCTCATATAACCTCACATCAAACATCATTCATGATTCCAGCATTCAAAATTTGTTTTCATCGTGACAGCGGACAGCTTTTACGGGGATGAGTTATTGGTTGTTCCTCATTTTAGAAGGATTGGGCAGAGATTTTCTGTCCAAACCTTCTTCTTTTGAGTGTGTGGTTAGTTTGAGTAACTGCAATCTTATGACAGAAAAAGGTCCACAAGCTCTGAGCGCTTGTTCATACACTACGAATGTTTGAGATCACTGAACCTATTCGAGAAGCCCTTTACGATGATGATCCTGAACGACAAAGTACAATGGGCCAGTATTTTGACCTGCAGTGACAAAAAAATTCTCTTCACTCTTTGAAGTTTGGGTTTCCTCTTTGTCGACACTAATTTGTACAAATGCGACTGGTAAAAGAAAAAAACACAAGAATTTCTAGGGCTATGAAATAGTTTTAATAAATCTCACAGGTACATGAATAGAATGATTGAAAATGAAATAATTTTAATGAATCTCACAGGTACATTAACATTTTAAAACCAAAGACCCTCGAGCAACATTATCACGCATGATTTGTGCCGAGTACTTGATACAAATCTCAGCAGTCTAACATGTCACTTAAATAAATTCAGATAATTGTCAGAGAGAAAACCAAAGGCTGGATGACAGAACTTCTCTACTTCACTTTTATTATCGAAAGGGTGACTTAAATAATAGTATAGACATATGTAGTCGATTATAAGAAGATTGTGGATGTAGTATTACAGGTATTTAGAAGAAGATACTAGAAAGTTAAAGTAAAAAAGGTGCCAAGCATAAAAAAAACAAACAATATGATGCATTCCCTTGCATTCTCTTGAACCAAGCTCTGAAGTGGCGCTTCACTCTAGATGTGGATGACTGACGAAAGTGCAGGTACTTTCCCTATGTCCAATAAAAATAGCAATTAAATTGTATATTGTAAAAACAAA